ACCAGGGGACTCGTTAGAGACTGCGCCCCCAGTTTTCATGGGGAGCTAATCACATGCGCATGCTCTGCTGGGCATGTGCCACCGTTTCAGATTTCCAGGAGGAAAGTGAGTGTTCAACATAAGCCATATTGTTTGTATAGACAGTTTGGGCACAGGAAGCCACTCTTATCAGTTCTGGGGAGGGTAGGAACTCCCCTAAAACTGAAGTTCCCATACACCAGCCAAGAGCCAGCCTTTCAGAGGAGAGCGGTCAGACCTGGTGTGTTCGCTCTGTTCTGCACGGGGTGCTCCTGGCATCTAGAGGGTGGAGGACAGGGGTGCCACGAAACCTCTGCAGTGCCCAGGGTGCAGCAGAGAATTGTGGGCTCCCCATGGCCCCAGTGCTGCCGTGGAGGGAGCGGGGGAAGGGTCGGGGCCATCTCTTCAGCTTGGCTGCCTCTGGGCCTTTCTTTCTTAAGACCGCTTGAACTCTACCGCCTTTCTTATCTAATCTCTCTAGTATAATCTACCTCTCTTGTATTGCTTCAGGACTCTTCCTTCCCTTCAGATTTGACCTAGGGAAAATACCTACTGAAAAGAAAAGATTCAGTAAAACAGAGAAGAACAATCTAATCTGCCTCTGAACGGTAAAAATTATTTTCAGGCAATTTCTTTCAAAGATTTAAACTGCCATAGTGGTGGTATTTTCTTAGTAACTTAATCTCCCTAGTTTTTATGTATAATTAGCCTGAAATGAAGATCTCTAGCTAGATCACTTAAGGTCTCAGGCTCTGAGGTTCTGCGTCCAATAACTAGCCGGAGGAAGAGTCAGTCTGCCTGGACTGGGAAGACAGCTAAAGGCTGCCCCGGGGCGCCATGCTCCCTCTGCTGGCCAGTTGGTGGATTTCTACAACTCATCTGGACCCACACTCCCCTTCCCTCCAGCCTGCAGTTTGGCCCTGAAGTTTTGGTGTTTCTCTTATAAGTAACACTCCCTTCTCTCTAACAGAAACAAAAAAACAAAAGAAAAAGAAGAAGAAGAAAAAAGGGCAAAAACAGACTCCAGACTCCTGACCCTTTCCAGGGACTTAGGAGGAGGCCGGGTGGGTGACCTGATGGCCGTGCTTTGGATTTGTTGCGCTTTGTGAGAGTTGCTTTGTGAGGGAATTCCCACATCTCTTGAGGGCTACAGAGAGTAGTGAGAGCTTGGTTTTTATTTTTATCTTAAATCTCTCTCAATATTTTTTCAATGGGAAGCTGAGGGTTGTTGCTATTGATAGCTTGTTCTCACAGCTGTGCTGGTCTCAGCTGGAATTCTTGTCATTGTCTCTACGAGGAACTAAATTGGGAGTTTACCACTGTTCCTATTGAGGGAGACTTCAAGTTCTCAGCATGATTTTACTTAAACTTCGGTTTCAGCACTGCTGGGAGGAAACATGAAAGTCCTAGCTAGTAATTTTAGTCCTTAAAAGAAAAACAAATCCACCTTACAATTTTGTTTGCTTAAGGCTAAAATGGGCACACTCCATCAGCCATCTGTCAGGTCAGGGAGAACCAGCATGCAAGCAGGGGGAATGTTTCTAGACTCTTGTGCACATCTGCACATTTATGCTGAAAATGGAGTAATGGTAGAGTAGGGATCCAGGGATCCTGGCGACCGAATATCTGAAATAGAACTTTGTTTCTCAACAGTGAAACTCAACTCCTTTACTCAGGAGTTTCTTTGAGCATCGCACATGAACATCTGTATTTATTTCTGTATCTATGTAGATGGATAGTCTCTCTGTATTATCTGTGTACACTGAGAACCATGCATTCATATCACCATCTGCAAATCCACCCAGCACTGCAGGAACATTCTGGTTTTCTCCCTTTGCATATTTGTAACTCCATTCTCTGACAGTGAGAAATCTGGCTCCCATTTATCCTCAGTATTTTTACTTATTTGCTCAACCCTCTTGCACTGTGTTGCCCCTGCCTCCATCACCCCCACTCAGACTTTGACTCCCCCACATTGTGCTCCTGCTGCTGTATTCTCCCCACTTGCCCCAGCAGATATCCTCTGCAGCCTTCTTGGGTTCCAGCACCCCACACCGGGGTGCTGGTACCATTGCTCTCACCCTCCCCACAACATGGCATCCTTCTCAGCCTGTCCAGGCTCTAACACTCTGTCCTGGGATTCCCACATGCCCTCCTAACCTCACTTGTTCTCCAGCATCCCACTGGGTTGCCATGGCTACTTTTACCCCTGCCCCCAGTGCCAAAACCTTGGGTACCCTTTCAGGGCTCTCATACCCTGCATGGGGCCACCTCCCAGATCTTTCCCAAGTAGAATCCTCCACCCTAGAAAGGCGTCAACACTCCGGGTGGGCCATTCCTGTCCCCACCCATGCCATGCAGTACCACTCTTTCCTCTCTAGAACTCCAACACTCTGCGGCCTTCTGCACGGACACCCTTTTGGGTACTGGCGCGTCTGTTTTTAATTCTAGACAGCGTAGAGCATTGCCAGTTTTATGGTTGCTCTACTTAAACAGAAAGTTTCCAGAAACATCCAGCAAATACCAGTGCCCCATGAGATCCATCACAGAACCAATGTCTTAGGAATTGGAAAGACCTTTAAAGGTCATTCAGCCCTAACTTGATGCATGGCTGATTTCATTATAACTCGTTAATGAGAAGTTTTCTGATTTGAAATAAAAAAAAAACAAACCCAGTCTATTTGATTTCCAGATAGCTTTCATTGTTAAGGTGGTTTTAAACCCTGCTTGTCTTGTGAGTTTGCCTATCAGTCTTTCTCTTGTTTAAACAGACAAGTTTGATTACAGAAATACTTTGAAGGGAGATGGTATTCGCTTCGAGATGATCTGCAAGTGCTCTTATGTGTGATCTTTCCATCACCAAGTCATCCCTCTGTAAATTAATGCTTTTACATAAGAAAAATTATTGAGGGGCGTCTGGGTGGCTCAGTCGTTAAGCGTGTGCCTTCAGCTCAGGTCATGATCCCAGGGTCCTGGGATCGAGCCCCACATCGGGCTCCCTGCTCCGTGGGAAGCCTGCTTCTCCCTCCCACACTCGCCCTGCTTGTGTTCCCTCTCTCGCTGTGTCTCTCTCTGTCAAATAAATAAAAAATAAAATATTTTAAAAAAAAATTATTGAGGCTCAGGGCTGGGAATAGAATCCCAGAGTCTGTTTCAGTGTCTAGAAGGACTACTTTTAGCTATAAATATTCAGCATATTGTTCAGTAAATTGTAACTTAGGAGGAGGTTGCCCAGGATGAGAGGAACCCATCTGTACAGCTGATCCAAACTGACTCCCCAGTGGGTTGCTACTCCATGTCTTTCTTATCTCCACTTACCTTTACCCTGTGGTCTGGGTCTGAATGACCATCAGGGACAGCTCTATCAAACAGACCTTTCTGCGGTGGGAGACCATCTGTATTTCTGCTGTTGGGTATCCCCTGGCCACATATGGCCAATGAGAATTTGAAATGTGGCTGGTGTGACAGAGGAATTGAATTTTAAGTTTAATTTAAATGGCTTCATGTGGCTACTTGCTGTTAGACAGTGAGGTTTGAGGGAGGGTGTGCATCCCTTTCTTTCTTAACTGATGGGGAAGTACCTTTTGCTTGTAGTTCAGTCGCTGAAAGGAATTACCAGAAGAAAGGGTCCTGAGGATTTGAAGGCCATCTGGCTGTGGGGTATGTTGCTGTGTTTTCTGGAGTTTCTGTAGCTGAGCTGGCTGGAAAGGGGAGCATTACCCGTCTCCACTCATTGTTCTGTGTGTTTGGGACTTGAAGCTTAAGTGCTGGATAAACTGTGATGACCTTTTCAGTCAGAGAATGGATGTTCTTTGGCTATGGATGTATGGGTAAGGTGATGTTCACCAGCTAAACCTCCAAATGTCTAAGAAACTAAAAAAAACAAAAAAAAAAATTACCGTTCCTTTCTCCCAAGGCAAGAAGAAGGAAGAGAGAGAGAGATGGGGGTCACAAGAGTATAGGTTTTGGTCCTTTCTTATGTGCAGACTCGTATCAGCTTGTCTGATGGCATTCACTTGCCCTGGTGCAGACCAGTGCGGGGTAGATTCCTGTGAGCACTGCTTCTAGGTCTGATGGGTGTTTCACTTCTTCCTGGAAGCTGCTTTATATTACTCATTTCTTTGATGGTGATTGCTAGTGGTCCCTCAGCCTGTGTAGTGTTTATGCGCTGTGACCTCTCCGCCCTGTGCGGATCTTGCCTTCCAGGGGAGAGTTGCTTACCATCCGGTCTCCCCCAGAACTCCCCCTCGACTTCTGGCTTACTAACTTTGTGTTCGTGTGTTTGTCTGGCGGAGATCTAAATGGTACTAGACCCATGGAAATCCTTTCTTCCCTCCATTTTCTCTTAGACATCCCTGCTACCCAGATGTGAAGACTGGTTCCCTCCTTTGGTGAAGATTGTTTTTTCCACTCGTTGTTCTCAACAGCAATTCGGTCTTCCTGTGTGCGGGTGGCCTTGAGGATGGGGGTTCTCTTCCCTGAAGCGTCTCCGTAGCCTGAGGAGGCCATTCAGCAGCCAGAAGCTGTCCTTCACCTCTTCTGGTTTTACCACCAGTACTGCCCATCAGCCAGCTCTCAGTTCCTTTTCAGATTAGACACCTCAGATATAACTAATGGTAACACATTGATGTTTCTTCCAAGTAGTCAGCCAGTTAGTTTCTCTCTTTTTCCACGTGCGCACATACATGTTTATAGCTTGCTGTCCAAGCTTGGCATATTACAAGCATTTCCTCAAAACCTGAAGAACTTCTCCCCAATAAAATCTTTAATGATGGCACGTGACTGAGTCATACCTTAGGTTCCTACGGTGTATAATACTGTAAATCCTGAGCAACGCTGCAGAGCGCGATTTCCCAGAAAATCGAGAGATGCGAAGACCGGTGGGAACGCACTCCCTGCCATAAGTTGAACGTCCGGGTTTGTTGTACCTTGACCAGCGAGCCGGCGGCAATGTTCCAGTCACGCTTTTTGCTCTCTTGCAGGCCCCGGCGGTACTTCCTCCTGTCCTCTCAGATGGCTCTCCACCCCGAGTACAGAGAAGACCTGGAAGCCCTGCAGGCCAGACACGGGGAGTCGGTGTTAGTACTGGATAAATGCACCAACCTCTCAGAGGGTGTCCTCTGGGTGCGTAAGCGCTGCCGCGAGCACCAGGTCTACGATTACCCCCAGGTGCTGCAGGTGAGTGTCTGCCCTTAGCCGCCAGGCTTGGGAGAGGTCCCTTCCTCGAAGTAGCACGCACCCCAGCAAAAGGCCTTGTTTCCCACACGCAGCCAGGAGATTTACTCAAGGGGAGAAGTGAACGTAGTCCTGCTCCTTACCAGCCACGTGGGCCCTCAGGTGCGTCGGCGTCAGGCGTCTGCCGTTTGTGCAGAGCTGCTTGGCCTCTGAGTACTCCTGCCCCTTTCAGACATTCGTTACCCTCCAGAATCGCAACTGCGATGGGTTTACGGAGAAGTAACGTGGACAGAGTGGGCAAATGTGTTTTACTTTTACCCCTGTATTCCTAAGCCCGTGCAGAGAAATTTCCTCTTTAAGGTGGCAGCTTGTAGCCTCTGACATGCGGGCCCACGAGGCCGCAGTCAACTTTTGCTGGGAATGGAAGGTTTTTGTTTTTTGTTACTGTTTTGTCTGTCGGTGTTTTGCCACCCTCGGCACATCCTACTGGTAGTATGTCCTTTGCCTGAGTCCTGGGCATGGCACCGTTTCCATACTCGCTGGTAAGAGTAGTCCTTTGGGGGATATTTTAAGCATCATAAGCAGGATGCTTGGCATTCCAAGGGCATGGGGGCTAGGAAAGGAGAAAGTGAGTTTTGTTCCCTGAAATATTTAAAATAGTTCAAGGAGAAATAGCAAGGAGCTGGTGTGATTCTTTTTTTTTTTAAATCTCCAAAGAGAACTGGCCCATGCTGAGATTGTTAAAATACTTTCTCTGCGAGAAAGTGCTGCATCGCCTCTGGAATGTCTGACTGATAACAGTGGTGATGTGAGCAGGAGTATTTATAGTAACCTTTGTCTAGACAGGAAAAATGGTTATCAGCACGTGTGTCCACATCTGGATGCTGACTCTTCAGGGCAGGCTGAGCTGTCCACCTGCACCTCTAGGCGCCATGACTGATTCTCTTCTTCAGCCCTTGCTGCTTTCTCATGTATCCCTGGAGGAGTTTGGCATATTGAGTTTCTTTACATTTTTTTCTGAACTTTCCTTTTCTCTAGCTGTAAAGATGGAACAGTGGGTTTTTGTTTTTTTTTTTCCTCCTGAAGAGGCAAAAACTGGGAAAAACCGAGTGTTAGAGGGTATTTTCTTATTTTTGCTTACCTGTTGCAACTCTTTGTTCTCCTGTACGTCTCTCGTTTTCTGAAACGTTCCCCACATTGACTAGGCTTGAGGGAGGGAAGGGAGAAGAAATTTTTTGAGACTTTGCTTTCTGTTTGATTTATTGTTCTAAGAAAGAACATATCTGCGTGTTTTCAAAGGCACTGCATACATGAAATGAATATCTTCTATGTACAGAGCACACCGCTCGATGCCATGAGGAGTAGAAAGATGAGAGTTGATAGCTTCCCTCTAGGGGTTCCTCTGGGAAGCCTTAAATGCCCAGACAGATAATTCTGCTATGAGGTAGGCTGAGGTAAGCGCTGTAACTGATGCTCAGCCCCCGTGCCACGGTGTGTGTGCATAGTGCAGGGCTGGAAGGAACTGGCTGTGGGAGGTCACGTTACTGAGGGCCCAGAGAAGACTTGGACGTTGGCTCTGGACATTCCAGATGCCACCAGTAGCGGCACTGAGGTGACACTGAAGAGTGGAAATACCAAGCATTGCAGCCAGGTAAGCTTTTCAAGTTCCCCTGGTGTCAGCTTTCATCTGTTTGCGTTTTCCATCAGGATGTCTCAGTAGTGCTTGGCTTCAGCCCTCAGGAGAACTTGATGGTCTGCAGCGATCAGAGAATGGGTCAGCGAGACTGGTGTGTGACCCCCTGCCTCTCCTTGTGTTCCTGCAGGAGGCCACGTTCTGTGTGGTCCTTCGTGGTGCTCGGCTGGGCCAGGCGGTACTAAGTGACGTTTTACGTGCCGGTTGTGTCCCAGTTGTCATTGCAGACTCCTATATTTTGCCTTTCTCTGAAGTTCTGGACTGGAAGAGGTGAGTGTTACCTTGTCATAAACTTCACACCAGTGGTTCTGTGTGTATTAGATTTTGAAAGCCCCCTTAGTAACTGTAATGCCTACCTAGGTTTGAGAACTACTCCCGTAGACTGTTTTGCTGTATTTTCCATCAGAAGAGTTAGTTGTTGGCCTAGAGCAGAAGTTCACAAACTGAGGCCTTTGGGCCAAATAAGGGAAGCTGCCAGGTTTTGTAAATAAGGTTTTCCTGAAACACAGCCACACCCGTTCACTCACATATTACCCACTGGCGGTGTCTGTGCTGAAATGGCGGAGCTGGGTAGTTGTGACAGGAATGATACGGCCCACAAAGCCCAAAATACGTGCTGTCTGAGCTTTTACCAAAGGCGAGAGCAGTGGTTCTCCATTGTAACTGCAGAGTATACTCACCAGAAGGACTTTAAGAAATGCCCGGGCCTTACCCTTGGGAATGCTGCACTTCAGAGCTCCGTGGGTGTGATTTGTAGCCACGGTGGTGAAGTGCTTTGCATGATGTTACTAGTTGGAGGGGGAGTGCCACCACATGCGTGAAAGCTTAGAGACATTCCTAGGGCACAGAAGGACAAACATGGGTCCCGCTTGGGTATGGCTGTCACTGCTGTAATGGACAGAAGGGCCCTCTGGTCTCATGTTATTTCATTTCCCTAGGACCTTGGAGGTTAAAGATTATTGAAAATTAGCTCCCTTTGTGTATACCTCTCAAGCTTGACTCTGCCTCAGATACTTATTTTCTCATCTCCCACCTGTTCTGATATTTCTATTCGTGTCTGATCACCATAGGTATTTGAACAATGCAAGTAGCATTCATTCTTCTGTACATTGATTCATCTCTCATAGTTATTGGAAAGTCTCCTGTGAATAATGCAGTCTCTGCTCTTAAGGAGGCTGGGATCTAGTGGGAAACAAACCAAGCATTCTAATAACGTGTGATAAGTGCCTTGTAGATGCCTGCACAGGGGGCGGTGGAAGCCCAGCACAGAGGGGGAGCCTCATTTGGCCTGAAAGACGAGGCTGTGTAATTCTTTTTATCTTAGAGAAGTGCTGAGCCACCTCCGATCATTTAAGCATCCGTGGAGACATTTGTTGAGGGCCCTTTATTTGCGAGGTACCGTTAGGTATGGGGATACAAAGATGATCGGTCAGACCTTGCCTCCAGGAAGCCCCTAGCCTGCAGGTGGAGGACAGACAGGTGAACCAGCAATGACTGGCTACTCCGATGAGATCAGCCAGGCTGGGCGGGTTGGTGGGAGAAGCGTGAGGAGGCGGCGCACACCATTGCCGACAGTGGAGTTGGTGAGGGCTTCGTGGAGGCAGTGACCCTGAGCCATGGCTGGAAAGATACTCCTGTGAGAATCCAGACCGGCTTGGGTAGTTGTCATTATGGGTAAGTGGTGGAAGGGCTCTGGATTTGGAGCCAGAAGGCCCGGGTTCAGGTAACCAGCTCTGTCACTGGCTTGCTTTGTGATCTTGCCAAATCATTTCTTTCTTTGAGCCTCAGTTCTCCCATCTGTACAGTAGAAATTGTGCACTTACTTAGCAAATATTCACTAAGTGCCAACTCTGTGTGCTAGACAATGTACCAGGTGCTCAGGGGTTGCTGGGGAGTGGAACCAGGCTGGTTTCCGTCCTAACAGAGTAGTCTTGCTGGGGAGCGGGTTTCAGATTTTAATAAGTTAATTGGTACAAATAAAATGGGAAACCCTGCTAAATGCCCTGACGGGTGGGTGGTTGCTGAGCCCTCTGTCTCCCTCACCCATGTGTCTGACCTGCGGGCAAGTCCTCACCACTTTCCCTGGCTCTTCCACTGTATTTTGCGACCGTCTCCAGCTGTTCTGCTCCTGCTTTCTGCAGTTTCTTCCAACACGTTAGGCAGAATGACCCCATTGGAACGTAATCAGATCATGCCAGCTCTGCCTAAAACCTTCTAATGGCTTTCTGTCTCAGTTAAAGCCGAGTCCTTACCACAGCCTGCAAGGCCCCATGCGCTTGCTGTTCCCCCGCATGCCCTGTTTACCTCCTGGTTTTCTCCATCTTCGTTACTCCAGCCACGCCGGCCTCCGTGCTGTTGCAGGAACATTCCCAGCATGCTGCTTCCTCAGGGCCTTCTGCCTAGAACGCTCTCCCGCAGGTGTTCTCATGGTGCTTAGCCCCGGCCCTTGTTTGATTCAGTCGCTGTTGTAATCCCAGCACCTGGCACGTGATAGAGGCTCCGTAAATACGTGCTGAGTGAGTGAATGGCTTTGAGTAGGGAGCTAAATGAGAAAAGTCCTTGTTCGTTCAGAGCGGGCAGTGAAGTTAAAGAGTATACCAGGGAGCAGGAAGTTCACACCCACAGGCCCCGTGGTGGGCAGAGCATGGTTTGCTGGAGCACACGGGTGGCGTGGAGGGAGGTGAGGAAACGCAGCAGGCCAGAGAACGAAGGCCTTTGAGATGGGGGGCCCTGAGGAGAGGATGGGGAGCCACTCGCCGGAGGGAATGCAGGCTGAAGGAGGGTGCGGGTGTTGTTTCTGCTCAGGAGGACGCCCGGGACAGGTCTGTAGAGGTGCTTTGTGTAGAGCGCTGGGTGTATGGAAACTGTTTTGCTGTCTTCTCTAGAGCATCTGTGGTTGTGCCGGAAGAAAAGATACCCGATGTGTACGGTATTTTGCAGAGCATCCCCCAAAGACAGATTGAAGAAATGCAGCGGCAGGTAAGAGGCCAGGCAGCCCTGCTGGGTGGGCGGGGGTGACACGGGTGGTACAGAAGGGTGGCCTGCATGGTGGGGATACACATCGACAGAGCTGACTGAGTGAGCGGGGCTATTTCCTCTGCTAGATCGACTCACCAACCTGGGGAGAGGAAAGCAGACTCAGGTGAGTCGCATCAGATAAGGTTTGAGAGAGTAACTATCAGAGATTTAAAAACTCTCCTGAGGTAAGCCTCTTATGTTTTAGGGTCATAGCATAGCAGTGTGTTCAGGATGCAGAGCCTTTTTGGATGGCTGTTCCCACAGCAGGTGATAGTTGTCGTGACTAAGGCAGCTCAGGAAGAAGGAACATCTCAGGGTGATGCTTCTGAGTAGCTGTTGACCAGGAGAATGTTGTCATATCAGCTGGCCTAGGTTCCCGGTTCCAGCGGCCTCCCTCACTGAGCGGTGCTCCCTTTCCCCTGGAGCAGGTGCCGCACCCCTGCCTCACTGTCCGGTGTCTCTTCCACCTTCTGATACCCCTTCCCCTGGGCTGTTCTCCACGGTCTGCAGCATGCCACTCGGGGCCTCAGGTAGTCCTGCTTCTCTTTCTTTTCTCTTGCCAGAGAGAAATTTAGTTGGGCTGAAATGTTAATAAGCAAGCTAAAAAAAAAAAAAACCACCCCACATTGGTACTATGCTTGCTGTTTCTTTTTTTTAGTAGATTCTTAAGGTTTTTATTTTTGTCAAAATTATCATTGTAGGAGATGAGCAGGAGAAAGGGTTGGAGGGGTCTCAGCATTAAGTCCCTCATCTTTGCCCCCACTTGGGGTTCCACAGCGGACGGCCTCGGGTTTTTCTCAGCTGATTTTCCTCAGCGGCTGCTTGGGCCCGGAGAGTCAGCCCCCACGTCTCGTTCTGCTTTTCAGCTTCCGCATTTTGTTGCTTCAGCTCGTCTCCCATCTTCTTGACCTTAGAGTGACTGTGCCTTCATTTTTAAAAATTTGTCATAATCGTCATTTTAGGGTTTTAGGAGGCAGGGAGAATTAGCGGACGTGTGGACCCACCACTGTCTTACTTTAAACCACGGAGATGGCCGCGTCATGCAGTACCGGCCGTGCAGGCGCTGACCTCAGACTGCCTGCGCCCATGCCCTCTCGGCCGGGCACCGACTCTACCCGTGGCCAAGGCTTTGCCTTCTCTGGACCTCAGTGACCTCACTGGTAACACATGTGGGCGTTGTGATTGGGGAGAACAAATCACGGGGGCGCCTGGGTGGCTCAGTTGGTTAAGTGCCTGACTTTGCCTCAGGTCATGGTGCCGGGGCCCTGGGATCGAGCCCCTTGTCCGGCTCCCTGCCCCGCGGGGCGTCTGCTTCTCCCTCTCTGTGCTGTCGTCCTCTCCCTCTGTGCGCACGCTCGCTCTCTCTCTCTCTCTCTCTTAAATAAATCTTAAAAACAAAACAAATCCCTGTTGGATTTTAGCCTCCATTGTTTTTTTCAGGGCTCTTTGTGTTCATTTTAAGTGTTTGGGCTTCTCAGTCATCACTTCACCACTCAACTCATCTGAGTTTCAGTCAGTTAGAAAATCCGTCTGGAGATCTCTAGATTCTTCATCTCAACCTATGGTTCTTACAAGTCGTATAGAAGAAAATGTTCCTTTTCACAGAAGAGTCCTGGTGTGTGAGCTCTGGGTGTTTCTTTTATGGCATCTTGATTTATTAACTAACTAAGTAGGGAGTCATCTGCCAAATCAGATACCATCTTAAGATTCCAGTCGGACAAGGCCAAGTAAAAACCCAGCACCATCCTGTGGGGAAAAAGAATCATTGGGTTTTCGGAGCCAAGCTCCCACGCTAGCTTATGGAACGCCATTGTTGCCCAGAGCAGGCTGGGGAACCATGGGGCTGAGGTAGGCGCAGCTGGTCATTTCTGAGCCCGGCCCTGAATCGTAGAACCATTGAGATAGAATGAATAGAGGTCATTAAAAATAGAGTACTTTGAGGTTATTTGGGTTCAAAGAGATATACTTGGAGTCAAAAGACTTGGATATGAGCCCCGGCTCTGTCCTGTGAGTTATACGACAGTGATAAGTCACCAAAGCTCACTGGGCTTTCATTTCCACCTTTATGAAATGACGGGGATGGCTAGATCCTTTTTCATGCTTCATTCAGCTGTTTAAAATGTCTGTGAACCTCTTGTTCTTAGCAAGAATATCACCGTCCTTGACAATATGAATGGCCCAGTGGCCATCTCTTCTCTGCTGCACGCCTTTAGGCCCGAGGGCCAGTCACTTCTTCGGGTGGTGAGTGCCCCACATTGTGTCAACTTGGACAGAAAGGCAGTCTTGGCACTTCCCTGCCTCCTTTTCCAAGTCTTCCTTTGGCTTTCTCATGTGCCTTTTCTCTACTGCTTTCAGACCTTCTAAAGCAGTCCACTGCAATGCCTCATGGAGTCCTGCTCCCCTTTCCCTGAATATTCTGTATGCCCAAAATGACCTCTTCTCCTGATCTCAGATTTCTAGACTGATCTCAACCAAAAGTGAGATTACCTGGTTGAACTAATTCCCACAGAGGTATAAGGATGACCAGGTACAGCTGATAGATGCCAATAGCACACCCTTTTCCCAAGGTGTGATAACCAGAAAAGTCCCTAGATACTATTAACTGTCCGGTTTTGGGGCAACATTGCTTTGATTGGGAACCACCGTCCTATTGATAGTAAAGTTCTCATCTAAGATTAGAGAGAGTTTTTTTGTTCTATAGGATTCTTTGCAGAATCTGCTTATCATTTTGCCCTCTGGTTAACCCATCAATTTAACCTGACCTTGGCAGGAGTGGCTGAAAAAATAGTACACTTGGTTCTGGAAAGTTTTTACACCTTAGTGAATTCTCTTTAGGGAGGTCAGATTTGGATCTTTTTGTAATACAGGTATAAACTTCTAGGGAAATCCTGTTGTATCAGTAGTTGATGCCTTAGAGCCCCTGGTTGATAGGTCAGAATGAGCTGAGCCTGAGCAACAGTCAAATTTCTTGCTCAGCGGCTGAAAACTAGCTTGAGAAGCTGCAGGGACAATTGCAGCCAGCAGAGGTCTCCATCCACTTTTAAGTGACTCCTTTTCCTTTGGACCCTGTCAGTGTTTCCAAGAAATCCTAAGATGCTTCTTACTGGCATTGTCCTCGTAGCCAGTCTCCAGAGACTATTTCTTTCAGATGAGGAAGAAATAGTGCTGAGCACAGGATTTTTGCTGTCTGTAGATGGAAGAGAGCTATGTTTCTGTATTGACCCCAGCGGAGTGGGGGTGCAATCTTGGTGATGGAAATACTGTAGTGACATTTTGCAGCTTAGAGCTCGGGATGAGGGAGGCTGCAGTGTGACTGGTGAGGACCACGGTGAAAGTCTTCATCGTGACTTGAGCAGTAGGATGCACCAAGGGAGAGAGACTTTGCCTGACAAGGAAAAGTGGGTAAATTTGCCTCCTGACCTTAGACGTGATGTCGAAGCAGCCCTAAAGTTAAGTACAAGGCTAGAGCCTAAAAACAATAAGTTATCTACTCCTGAAAGCTGACGAGAGTATTGGACAAGCTGGGGGTGGGGAGAGCTTAAAAGTTTTCTTTGTGGGTAAATTAAAAACCAGTTCCTTCAATTAGTAGAGGGTGAGAGTTATAACAGTATAAAGCCAACTTATCACTTGGCCTTATATCATCTCACGAACTAAATTAACTAGTTAACTTAGTGAAGCCCTAATTAAGTGTTGTTTTTTCAAGGGTCTCGAGATAGTGCAAGATAGTAATAAATCTGTGATCCCCACTCCAAAGGCCTAATTGTTACCTTGGCGATGTGTGGGTATAAGCACAGAGAAAGGTGGGAAAATCGTGCACATTTTCCAAAGTATATTAGGGATCTGAAATGGAAGGGAAAAGTTATGGGCTAAAGTTGTCAGGAGCAGATTCATTGGGGGGGTAGCACTTGAGGTAGGCCTTTAAAGGTGGAGAGCCCTATCAACCACCTTTCTTACACTGGAAGACAGGAAGATATATGCAACTGAATATTCTTCTGTAGTCAGAAGGAACATTCATATTCCCAGTCTCTCTTGAACGACAATGGAAAAGAAAGCAATCTAGGATCCTAGAAGGCTGGGTGGACACGGGACTGTATAGTTGGAAATGTTTGTGTGGATAGGGAGAAAGGCGTAAATGGATCCGCGGTTTATCTGTTGAGTGGAGTTTCCAAACATTCTTTTATTGGTCAGTGGCTCCACCAGCAGTGACCTCTAACCTCAGCCACACTAGGAGGTGGAAGTCAGGAGCCTGCCTTGCCTTTGAACTCTCCTTTGTACTCAATTGACTGGGAGCCTTTGAGGTGGCAGAAATAGTCAGCATCTTCTTTTCTCCCTGGCCTGTAAGCTTGGGCGAGTTAAAATAGTTTCTTTTCAGTCTGTTACACTGACCCATCTCAGTTTACCTTCATATTTTCCTGCTAAGCGTACCGAATATTTGTGCTGCTGAGGAGTACTTGAAGTCGATTGATTAGGAAAAAGACAAAACGCTTCTATTTAAGAAAATAAAACCCCAGGCATGTGCACCCGCACCGACCAGGACTATAGTTAGGCCTCACTGTGATAAAGCAGAGAGCAGAACAGAACTCTCAAGAGCAAATGTGTGTGTGTGTACCAGAGGTCGCGCACTTTGTCCGTGGGTCGGCCCCTAAATCGAGGCTTGTATTTTATTTTACTTACAGGTAATTTCAACACAGTGACTTACCCGGTTTTCATAGAGTAGTTTAGAAGTCACTAATTGGAGGGGCAGAAAGACTATAAGGAAGGGTCTCTGAGATGGGTCATCTGCCAGTTTGGTGTGAATAGCGAAGATGGAAAAGCTATTTCAAAAATAAAACTCTCAGTACATTGGATATATGGCCGACAGCTTTGCAGGCTTCACTGTATCCTGGGTGCATCATTGTAAGACGGCAGAATTCCTCGATTCAGAGAAGTACACGTTTGTTTTTCATATTTTGGCTTTCTGA